GGACACGGGCTGTGGACGGGGCACGGTGATGTGCCCAGCTTGCACTGGAAATGTGGGGGTGATTTCAGGCTGTTCACTGAACACGGACAGTTTCCACCTTTCAAAACGGGGAGTGCATAAAGTCAAACTAAATAGTACCGAAGTCACTAGTTATTCAGCTAGGGGAAACTGTCACTGAACCTTGTAAACGTTCCTTTTGCTATTTTCTGACAAACAGCAGGTACTTAAAGGTTTGAGTTCAGAGATAAATAAGTGTCTTTGGATCTTGTGGCTGGAGGTTTTCTTACCTGGGAGAACAGACTCGATCCACACCGGGGCATGGCCACGTAGCGTGAAGCCAAAGCTTCTGTTCCCTTTATAGACTCGCACGGTTCTGCAGGTGAAAAAAGCAAATGGAAAACCAGAGCCTGATATTTGGTTCTTGTTTCCTTGCCAAGCCCCGTGAGCCCGGGTGTCCCCTGAGTGCCCAAGCCCCCAACAGTCCCCGTGTCCCCAGCAAGGTCCCTTTTGATACCAAAGTGTCGTTCAAACGGGAGCCCCTGAGACGTCCTTAGGGATGGAGGAAGGTGTGGGAGGGTTTGGCGGCCCTGCCCGTCCTGCCAGCTCTGCCTGCCTATGCCGGGGAGCAGAGCGAGCCCGTGGAGCTGGGCTGGGCTGGGGAGTGACCTGGAGGGTGCTAGAAACGGCCCAGGCAAAACCTCGGGGAGGGCTGGGGGGAGGCAGGAAGAGATGCCACTCTTCTAGGGGCAGAGCTCCTGAGCACGGCCTCTTGCTCTGCATTAATTGCCAAATTCATAAAACCACTGCCCCGTCCTTCAAATCCATGTTATTGAAGTAGAACATGGGATGTAGCTTATATATTACATAGAATAAGAGTGACGATGTGTTTCAGAGGGCAAAGGTCTCACAGGCTGATGAGAGAAATTAAATTCAGCTGGGAAATTTTGGAAGGAGCATTAGGAAATTTCCCTACAGGGAGGCTGACTGGAGCTGGGAGTTGTTCCCTGCAGGGAGCTGGGGGAAGGCAACATCCCCGAGATCGTTTACAACCAGAAAGCTTCTTGTGGGGACTGATTCTACGCTGGCAGGGAGGGAAACTGCTGGAAGTGAATTTTGGACAAGTCACACCCAAAATTATCCTGGCGGGAAGGTGGGCTGCAGCCAGATCCCTTGGCGATAGCAGCTGGAGGCAGGGGAATAGCTCGGGGCGTGACTGTGACAGCACCGTCCCCCCCAGGAGGGTTCCCCGCCCGCGCTGACAGAGCAGACCCTGCTCCCCTGTTTGTGAGGCGGGGCTGGGGCAGGACCCCCCGTACGGGCGGTGGGAACTGGGTTAATCCCCCGTGCACCAGGGATTGCCCGTCCTTCCTCCGGCCGCCTCGGCCCCGGACACAGCCTGCTCCGTGCCCAGGCTCCCCCCATCCCGCTGGCAGGGCCAGGGACCCTCCGTCCAACACCCCCTCCCAGCCTGTAAGTGCCACCTCAGCTCCTCACACGGCCCGGCCCAGCAAGGGGGCAGAAAGGGCGGCCCAGAGCTGGGACAAGGGGCACAAACACACCCAGGCTTCGAGACGGAGAGGTCTTCGTTCATCCTCAGGCCAGGAGGATTCACCCGCTCCGCACACCCCCTTTCCTCGTGCCTCTCCATCCCCCCCGCTGCCATCCGCACCGGAGCAGATGCTGCCGCCCGTGAACTCGAGGGCATCCCGGAGAGGGGTTACCTGCGGGCAGCCCCCGAGGCCACATTGCTGGTGATGAGCGAGGTGGTTTTCCGGAGGCTTTTGCTGGTCTCCTCGTGGCTCCGGGGCACGGAGCTGGCGCGGGTGGAGACGAGGAGCCGCTCCTGGTGGTCCTCGCTCCGGCTGCGCCGCAGCCGGTTGCTGTGCTGCTCGCTCTTGGAGCGGCAGAGCTTGCTGATCAGGCTCTGCGACACCACCTCGTCAAACCGCTGCCGGTGCTTCTTGGGGATGAAAATCCTGGAAAAATGAGACAAGGGAGGGGACTGAGGAGCAGGACCAAGGTAGCTGTGATGCCGAGCTCTGCATCCAGCCATACCTGGGAAACAAAAGGTCGCAGAGCGGCCCTAACCCTCGTGTGCTCTTGGCCTCAGTCCTCCCAGAGCTGCAAATGCCAGGGCTGGGGACAGCAGGGATGCTGGGGACAGCGGGGATGCTGGGGATGCCAGGGACACTGGCTGCATCTCTTGCCCCATCCCCTGCAGAGCTCCGTCGGGGTGAGGATGTTGGACCCCTCCACAGCGCTCACAGACTGGTTCGAACAGCTCAGTTTCTTCTCACATGTCCCGTCCCAGACCCCTTCAGCTGCTGACCCCGGTAATCTGGACGTCCAGTCCCAGATTAATTGCCTCCCCGTGCTGACAGCCAGTGAGCCAGCTGGGCAGGGAGGACCCTCGGTGCGCCCACAGTGCCCTTCCCGCTGCGACCCCGCTCCTCCCTGCCAAGGATCCCAACGTGCAAGTGCTCCCCGTGTTGCCAGTGTCAAACCATCTCCGCCAAACCTGCTCCTTCCCCAGATGTTCTGGGACCCCCAAAATGCTGCTCCCCATCTCCTGCCCCAGCCCCTGCACTGGGAGCGCTGGACTCTGCTCTCCTGTGCTCCAGCCTCGGCTTCTGCCACCCCCCAGCTCCCGCCGTGGCCAGGCAGGAGCCTCGTGCCCCTTGGGATGAGGATGGGCACGGTGACGCCTCAGGCAAGGGGACACCACTGGGAACTTGCTCCCTTGCAGGTCACCTCCCCTCTGCTCTGCCACAGCCAAGTGGCCTTTGTGCCCCCCACAAGGACCCCCCGGGACCCTCGGGGATGCACAGTGAGCGCAAAGCAGGATCCCGGGAGGGAGCAAGGAGGGTGCGTCTGAGCTGCTCCCACCCTGGCTGAGGGTTCACCCCTGTAACAGCGAGAGACAAATTTTCTTTTCCTTCTGCCATCGCAACAGTGAGACGCTGACGCTCCGCTCACCTACTCCTACCCTTCCATTTGCACGTTCAGGGGCTTCTGGAGGAGCTGTTATCTCCCTGTGTTTCTATAGCAACTTCTCCCTGCACCCATACTGGGCTGCCTGTCGCAGCTGCATTCGCTCATTAGACACCACCATCCCATGGGGTTCGTTAGCGCTCTTCACCTCGTGGCGTGCGAGAACACGCTCCCTACATTAACACGGACTCCGACGGTTGTGGCGGAGGAGGGCTGCCAGCATCACTTCCAAACAGCCCGGGGACCCCGTCTCCCAGGGGGGCGCTAACTGGGCCAAACCCACCGCTGGTGTCGGAGGGCCCGGTGGTGACGGGCGGCTGGTAACGGAGCGCGGCTGGAGAGGCCGAGGCTGGCGGGGGGCTCCCGTGGGTCTCCCCGCTCCCTTGGGCAACTTCTCCAAAGGAACATGAAAGCCTGGGTGAAGCCAGAGGAGAAGGAAGGCGAGGCTTCAGCTCCCAAATCTACCAGCACCAGGACGTCTGTATTTCCCCCCAACAAATGGCAGAACTCAAAATAAGAGCGGAGGCTCACGCTGAGCAGGAGCAGACAGATCACAAGCCGTCCCGAGGCCGACATATGCTCACGCGAAGCATTTGGTGACCATTTAAAATAAGTAACACGTTGGTACCGCTCACGGTCAACTTGCGATTAAGCAGCAACTAGAAAAGAGGGAAATCACGCTAATAAATAGTTCCCGCAGGTGTAAGCAGGCTCCTGCGGGACCGCGGGCTGCCACAGCCCTGCGGCAGGGGAGGACGCGGCGCCGCAGCAGCGAGCCCCGGCGGGACCCCCCACCCCTGCCCCGCTGGGCTCCTGCCAGGGATCGTCCGGGCGCCTCGCCGGCAGAAGAAGCACGCTCTCGTTTCGGGTGACCAGATTTAAGTCGGCTGCTCGCTGCGGCGGGGCTGTCCCACTTAGTGCGGGCCGGCAAACACCGGGGCTGAGGAGCCAAGTACGGCTGGCTCGATAGCCCGGCACAAGGACAGGCTCAAGGGGCTTCTTTACTTCTAGACTCAGCACTAGAAGTAAAACGGTGTCTTAGCACGGAGAGGAGCCAAGCGACTGGTAAAAATAATCTGGTTAAAGCACGCAAAATAGTTTCCTTCTGTAGAAACCTTGGAGAGAATTTGCAGCATGGCCTCGGGGAGCCTGGGATGGCCCCGTGCCGCGGTGCTGCTGGGGCTGGAGCCCCCCGGCTCCCTGACACCCTGCGGGTCAGGGGGTGCCGGCCTCCAGGCTGTGTGTGCTCGGGGCTGGTCCTCGAGGAGGGACACACCGAAGGCGCAGGTGGGGTGTCGTTACGCAGCACTGAGGCCTCAGCCTGTCCTCTGCCGCCCGGGCAGCACCACCGGCGCCGGGCAGTGGGAAAACTCTGGCTGTTTTGGCAGGTCCCTGTGGATAAACCCGGCTCTGCCCATCGCCGTGGCACCAAGGAGCAGCACCCGGCCGGGGTTGCCCTCTCCCAGCAAATCCCACTGGGGCGCAGGGAGCGCGGATGCTCCCACCCGGTTTGCAGCCATCGGCCTGCGCCCAGGGGCAGCCCCCTGCCCCAGCAGCCCCTCAGGCTGTTCCTGGCCCTGGGAGGGCTTGGGAGGTGTGCAGTGCTGACCTCGCCTGCAGCTTCCTCCTCCTCCTCCTCGAGTGCTCCAGGGCAGCCCTGGCTCTGCTCCCTGTTGAGGAGGGGATGGGGAAGGCGTCCCCAGCCCAGGCACTGCGGAGCCCGGCTGCACTCGCCCTCCCCTGTGGCGGTGTCGGGAGGATTCTGTCCACTCTAACGCAGAAATTCAGGGTGTTTTCCAGGCCAGGAGAGGCCCCGGAAGCCACAAGCTGCTTCGCCTTCACACCCTCTCCAAAGCAACCCGGCCGGGACACTGCTGTGGGGTGGGAAACCTCCCGGCAGGAGCCCGTCTGCCAGCACACCCGTCCCCAGCCGCTCGGCCCCTGCTCCGAGGCTCGCTTCCGCAGAACATTTTGGTCTTTGTCACACTGGCTCTTTTTAAAGCTCCCAGACAGGTCACCTGCAGCTCACCTCTGGGCAGCCGGTCCCATTTCTGGGTGACAGCTGCCTCTCCCCAGCCCAGCGCCCTGGAAAACCACCTTTGCTGAGTGCACCCATCCTGCGGCGGGCGCTGAGCTCGCCCAGAAGGTCCCACCCCGGGATGCTGAACGCTGAGACTCTCCAGTGCAGGATGAGTCCCCCTTGAGCAGGGTAGTGGTGGCAGCTCTGGCCCAGCTAAAACCAGCCTCAAGTTTGCTCAGAGCTCACGCTCAGCCAGGGCTGGGAGCGAGGGGTCCCCAGTCCTCGCTCCATCACACCCCCTGCACCGTGCAGCACCCCCAGATCCCCGTCCTCACCGCCCATCCCTCCGCGGGACTATAGTCATGGAGACAAAGCAGACCCAGATGGGCTCTTCCCACCTCTCCCCCAGCCTCCCACCCCCAATTTTTCATCTGAGCGTCGCTCGACTCCCCCCAGCAGCTCTCGCCGCCGCTGCGGTGGGCGTGGGTCTGTGCCCACAGCTCAGAGAGGCAGGAGAGGCCCCGCGGGGTCGTCTGCCAGGGCGCGAGGCTTTCCCCGCTCACCCGCCGCCGCACGCGCCGAGACGCGGAGTGGAGAGACGTACCGAAAATGCCGAGAGAAACTCCGGTCCTTTCCCATTTGTCAGGGTGCGGCGGGAACAAAAGGGAGACGCTTCAGATCCTCATGCAGCTGAGTCCCAGCCTCGGCTCACGCCCACGACGCGGCCGGATCCAACAACCAAACCGCGCGCCAGCCGGTGCCCCGCTGCCACTTGGCACCCCCGCGGTGCGTGGGGACCGTGGCCAGATGGGCCGGCTGGCTGGCAAACCCTACCTGGGCCGAGCCCCTGCCTCCCTTCACCCTCACCTCCCCGCCGCGCTCTCAGTCCCAGGCAGAGGTTTACCATCTACCCAGCACCTCCTTTTATCACCCGGGGCTTTAGCGCCTGCTCTGCCCTCCCTGCTCCGGCTCTGCCCCGCTCGCAGCGCCGAAGCCTCTCTCTTTCCCTAAAAACTGCAGTCGCTGTAATTTCCAGCTGGAACGATCTCGTAACAGAAAGGAGGGCACGGCTCCGCGCCGAACTCCGGGGGGATGCCTCCCTGGCGCTAATTAGTTGACTTCTAAAGTGCTTCTGTTTAAATTACATGCTGCTGTAATGGGTGAGAAACCTTAAAGGCAAACGGCAGCGGCGGCGGGTGCGTGGTGCTGAGCGGGCAGGTGGAGCCGCCCCGGCTGGACCAGGACCAGGACCACGGGCCCAAACCTCCCCCCGAGCCTCAGAGCATCATTTACCCCCAGGGTAACACAGCAGCGCTTTGCATGAGGGATAGAAGATAAAACCCCCACATCTTTAATTTAAAATAACCCCATTTTTAAACACAGCGCTCGCGTTTGATGACGAGGATGTGAAGCTTTCCAGAGCTGCCAACATCAGGTACAATCTCCAGGTCGCAAAGGAAGGAAAAATGAAAAAGGGATGGTTTATCCCCGAAACAGCTTGCAAAGATCTGACCTTGAGTCTGTCGGTTGTGCAGAAAAATGCATCCCAGGGTGGATTCACTTGGATTATGCCTGAACTGCGCTGTGCAAACAGCTACCAGTCTGGAAAGGCACTGCTGCCCCAGCAGCGCTCCACAGTGCTAAAATTCACTCGCTGCTGGGGAGAGAAAACCCTTGTGCGGCTTTACCCACATAACAAGACTTCTGCTCGTCAACCGGGACAGATTTTTCTCAAACCTGATCTACCTGCGTGCATGGGGGATTGTGTGGGCAGCCTCCAGCCCCCGACGGCCGCGGGGGGACGCAGCCCCTCCGAACCCTCGGGTGCGAGCGGGCCTCGCTCCAGCCCGGCAGACCTGGGGTTGTCCCGGGGGCTGTTATCCCGCCATCCCCAGTAACGGGAGGCTCTGTAATCACCCATCTGGCTGCAGATGTTTTGCAGATGTGACCGTTGTTATCATTAAATAGGCAGAAGGTGCTTTCCCACCCCAGAGTGCAGACACGGTGGGATGCAGTGGCCGTGCACCGGGGCCGGGAGCCCCTCGCAGCCCTGCCCCAGCCACCCCACTCATCCCCGGGGCCAGCCCACGACCCCCAGCCCCACACAGCAGCTTTTGGGGAGGGTCACCCTCTCATGACACATCCCTGCAGCAGCTCCCGTAACGACTGCTGCATTATCTGCCACAACAGAGCCCTCCCGGAGCAGCTCCACAGCCTGTGTCTGCCTGGGGCCACCTTCCCTGTCAGCAGCCGGGGCCCTGGGGTGCTCTCGCCTCTCCCAAACCCCGTCTCCCTGTGCCCAAACCACACTGCGCGCCAAGAGCCAGTGGCTTTGTCCTTCCCCTGGCGGGGTCAGGCAGCCCCACAGCTGCCAGGGACACAGCGACCTTCAAAAAACCCCGCAGAAAGGCTTTTTTCTGGAGCTTCCATCCTGCAGGGCATCACCTGCCGGGTACTGGGGATGGGGGCCAGGTCAGTGGGTGCAAACGCTGCAGCCCCGGCCTCATGGGCTGCGCACCCCGTGTTTGGTTTCAGACACTGGAAAACTCGGGCCAAGTAGCTGCTTCCCAAAACAAAAGTTGTGACTCGGTGGTGGGGCGCAAGCGGGCCAGGCGGATCTCATCTGCCTTACAGCCGTCGTTGGATTTGTCAGGAGAAATTAATCCCCTAACAGGAGATTTTGCACCGAGGCATTTTGGTCATGACCTATTTGAACTCAGCCAATAAAAAAGGAACTTCGCTGCCGATTGTTTTCACTGGTGGCACGCTTTTTTCCTGCTGCCCTAATTCCCTTTTCTGGGCAGTTGAACATATGTTGGGCTATCAGATCAGGGATTTTTTTTTTTAAACGGAAGCAAACAAGAGCTGCTTTTCCTCCCCCGTTCTCGTCCCGCCACCGGCGCGGTCTCCGAGCGGCTCTGCCCGGGCCCGGGCAGCAGGACGGCGGCTGTGTGCGGGTCGAAGCGCTGCGTCAGGCAGCAGCCAGAGCGATGTGGGGGGGGGGGGGGTCACCCCCACTGCAAACCTGCATCAGCACCCGAGAGAGCTGGGAAGCTCCCCCCCAGCCTTGGAGGAGCGGGTACGTGATGGGGGGAACACGCAGGGAAGCAGCACAACCCGTAATATGTAAATCCCGATGGCTAAAATGACATTTCTTATCCAGGGACAGTCACAGATGGCTGGAGTATTTTAATACGGGACCATGCCAAGCGATTTTATTGCCACGAAGAGCAAGCCGAGGCAAATAGCTTGTGTTGAGGGCATTATCAAAATGAACGCAGTGGAATTTCTCCCGTGATAAGGGAACCCCCGACGGGCAGCGGGTTTATCTTTGTCAGGGATCAGAAGCGACTGCAACCAGCAGCGCTCGCCTCGGCCCAGCAGCCTCGGCTGCTTCGGTTTTCCCCCAGGAGCCAAGACGGTTCGGGATGCAAACGGACCGGAACCAAAGCCGCGAAGTCTCAAACTACCCCAAACTATTCTCCCTGCAGCAGAGGGAAGCACAACACGGCTCGAAGGGGATCCGTGACAACACAGAGCTGCCTAAACCAGCTCAGCGCGGCCAGGGGCGGGGGGGGTGTGCTCCAGAGCACACGCGCCTCCCGCTCTCCAAATCCAGGTTAATGGGGCGCTGCTCCTGTAAGAATCGACACCGGTGTTTGATGCCCCAGCTTTGGTGACACCGAGGGGCAGTGGCAAGGAGGGGATCTGCGCTTCCAGCGCTCCCCAATTCTCCTGAAAATAAACGTTTCAAACCGAAACGCCGCGGCTGGGAGCTGGTGCCACGCTGGTACCGCCGGTGGGGAAACACGGGGCAAAGGGAGACGGCGCCCGGTACGTGGTGGGGGGCACATGCTAAACCCCTGCGCCACGGGGGTGAGGATCCTCCCGGATCGCCTGGCCCGGGGGGAGGCTTTGGCCCCCCGAGTCCAGGGAAAACGCGGTGCCGTTGCGGCAGCGCTGCAGAGCGCTTGGGTGCAGAGCCAGCACCGCTGCGCTGCCGGAATCGCGGCTCTGCCCTGGTTTGAAAACAGCTCAGAAATAAGAGCAGCGCCGAGAGGCGAACACCCCTGGGACCCCGACCTGCCCGAAATAACCCAACTGCCCTCCCGACACCGGCGCGAGGCACACGCAGCCCCTGCACACAGGCCAGGCACGGCCGCGGGGAGCGGAGCGCAGACACCCCCCTGCTCCCCAAGGGCCAGACCCAGGCTCCGGCGTTGGCGGGTGATGGAGAAACACAAACGGGGAGATTTCCCTCTCCCCGGCAGAGCTGCGATGCCTGCAGAGCCCCTGACAGGAGCAGTTCTGATGCAATACGGATGCTAAGAGTTAATTAAACTTTTAGCAGATCTCAGATTTTTTGCGGTGACGGGAGTTGCTAGATTTGAGAATTATCCTGGTTTAAACCCATTCCCCTCCCAGCCCCCTCAGCTCCCAGGAAAAGTCCGTTTGCTACTCACCCGAGACAGCTCATCTTTCCCCCTCGCCGCCGTTATTTCATCATTCCTGAGCAGAACTACAGTTGTGCACTTTTACTACACGCACCAGCCATATGGGCAGGGGATGGGAGCGGGGAGGACCCGGCGCAAGCACGTGCGTTATCCCTGCTATCCACAACCAAACGGATGAAGAAAATGTCTAGCAAATTAAAATCCGCAGGAGCTTAATTCCGGGCAAATGGGATGAAATCCATTTGAGCTAAAAACGAGAGGGAAAAAAAAAAAAAAAAAAAA